ATCAGGAGATCCAACAGTGGGGCCAGGACATTAGAAGCCCTCCCACTGTTGACCCCCCCAAGCACCAAGAAGACAGAGCATCGCTTGCCCCAGAGCCCCTAATAGCCACTGATGGACCTCTGCTCCATATGCTTATCTAATTCCCTTTTGAAGCCGTCCATGCTTGTAGCCGCCGCCACTTCCTGTTGTGAATTCCATGTGTTAATCACTCTTTGGGTGAAGAAGTACTTCCTTTTATCCATTCTAACCCGACCACTCAGCAATTTCATTGAGTGCCCACGAGTTCTTGTATTGTGAGAAAGAGAGAAAAGTACCTCTTTCTCTACCTGCTCTATCCCATGCATAATCTTATAAACCTCAATCGTGTCATCTCTCAGTCGTCGTTTGTCCAAGCTAAAGAGCCCTAAGCGCTTTAACCTTTCCTCATAGGGAAAGTGTTCCAACCCTTTTATAATTCGAGTTGCCCTTTTCTGCACTTTTTCCAAAGCTATAATATCCTTTTTAAGGTGTGGTGACCAGAACTGCACACAGTATTCCAAATGAGGTCGCACCATTGATTTATATAGGGGCATTATGATATTGGCTGATCTGTTTTCAATACCCTTCCTAATAATCCCCAGCATAGCATTGGCCTTTTTTATTGCAGTCACACACTGTCTCAACATTTTCAGTGAGTTATCTACTACAACTCCAAGATCTCTCTCTTGATCAGTCTCTGCCAGTTCAGATCCTGGAAGCTAAGCAGGGTTGGCTATGGTTAGCACTTGGATGGGAGACCACCAAGGAAACTTGGCTGCGACTTGACGGCATTTTCCACCACCAGACCTGACTTCCTTTCAGCTGACTGGTAATTCTCTCCATTGGGTGAGGCTGGATTTCAGAGCTCTGCTGTCTCTGAATGTGGAGGTTGTATCCATAGGGAAAGTATCTGGCAAGAGTTAGCAACTCGGCTTTTCACAAGGGGCGAAATAGGAAAGCAGGGCAGGAGGAGGGGCAGGCCAGGGGCAGGCCAGGGAGATAGACTCTGAAAAAGAGGACGAGGAGCTTGATGTTATCGCAGAGGGCCAGCTAAGCCATGCCCACAGCAGAGGAGTGAACTTTGGGATCTGTGGGACGTTTGACTTGCTAAAGCTGTTAACTGCTCAGTGACCTCTTCAAGGTCGGAGTTGCGAAAAGTGGCAAAGCGCATGGATGTGGGATGCGCCAATTACACAAACATAACGAGCCGTATTGATTAGGATGGAAAAGCAAAGCCTTGCTGCAGATGGTGCACAGTGGCTGGGGGAGGGGAGCCTCCATGACCCCATTTTGGCCCTGCCCTGTCTGGCAGTCACAGCTGCCACTCTCCCATAAGCCAGCATCGAAACAAGAGCAGCGCCCAACTGCAGAATGCAAAAAAGAAAAAGGAAAAAAAGGTCCCATATTTTCATGCTAGACCATGTATTCAGATTTGGGGCCTGGGAGGAACATATGAATTGATGGGAAACTGCATGTGCAGATGAAAAAACGTGCTCTTATGAACTGATGCATTTGCCTTATACTGAATCGGGCCATTGGTTCGTCATGCTTGGTATTGTCTGCCCCTAGTGGCACTGGCTTCCTGGGATCTTCTCAGGCAGAGGGCATTTTCTGAACACTGGCTACCCGAGATCCTTTAGCTGGATGTACTGCCAGGGACTGAACCCAGCGGCATCTTCTTGCAAAGCAGGAGCCCTTCCCCTGAGCCATGGCCCATTTCCTGCCACTGACTTGCTTACTTATGTACTTCATTTGTCATCTGCCTTTCTTGCTGAAACTCAAGGCAAATTACACAACTGAAAACAATGCGATAACAGCAGTATACGAATACAACCTATGGTGCTACCAAACTGGATTACAAAATGAGAGATGCACACACTCAAAATAATAGAGTTGCATAACAATAGAGTAGTATAACGAACACAACAAACAACGAAACAAAACTGGATTACAAAATTAGAGCAAAATACAATACAAACAGTGTAATATATGCAGTGAAGAAACTAGAAAAGCAGTTCCTTCTAGGGATGGGCACAAACCGGTTCGCAAACCAAAACTTCAGCATGAACTTGGCCCAGTTTGGAGCCCTGAATCGATGTTCGGAGAAGGCGCCTTCCTCGAACATTTACCAGACTTTTGTCTGGTTTGATTCAAATGTTCAAGCCATTTAAACCTAACAGCTGGGGCAGGGTGGGTCTGCAGCTCACCTGTTAAACATAACGGTGGGGTGGGTCCTTCCATCAGCTGTTAGGTTTAAATGGCTGTGAGCCATTAAATCTGTGAGTTTTGCTCCCCTCTGCTTTGAAGCAGGGGAAGCGAAACTGATGAGCTGCCAGCTATTTAACCCTTCTCAGGCAATCCTCCCCCCCTTTTCCTGGCCATGGCTTGCTGCAGCCAGGAGAAAGGGGAATCCAAACTGGCCAGTTCAGTTCAGGGCATTTTTGACTCCATTCAGTTTGGGGTGTGGTTCGGGAACTGCCCCGAACTGAACCAGAATTTTTAGAATCACACCCATCTGTTTATAAAAAATATGCTCCTGAACTGTTCTGTTTTCTTTGGAATGACAGCAGCTTTCCTGACCTCATCAGACAGGCCATTCCCCCAGGTGGGAGCTACACCAGTGCGGGTGCTTCAGTTTGGGCAGCAACTGATCTTACATCTTTGCAGGGTGGCACCTTCAGAAGCCTTTGCTTACAACAGCACAGCTTGTTGGGATAGGTGGTCTTACAGTTGTGTGGGTGCACTTTCATGGTCCCAGATGGATTCTGGTACATGCCTTTGTGACTATCATCTGCTCCTGAATGTTTCCATTGCTATTGGTGCTTTTGCCTTATCTCTGTCTTTTGGTTTCTGTCTTTCTGCTCCATCCTCCTAATTCCTTCTCTCTCCTCCCCATCACACACCCTGGCCTGCTCCACATTCTGGTCTCAGGCAACAGAGGCAGAAGGGACAGCCCCAGAAGACTCCACAGAGACCCAGCCCTGTGCTGCAGAGGTACCCTTAGCTGGTGCCCAGACAGAGGGTGTCAATCCCTGCCCCCCGGGGGAGACGGAAGAGCATGCCAGAATCCCAAGGGAATACACAGTAAGAACTTTGGCACATGAAGATGAGGCTTCATCTGTACTTTCCTTTGTGGCCCCCAACCCACATTCCTCTAGACTAAAGGCTGGGTGCTCTTTCCTTCTGCTGTCCTTTATCTTCCCAAAGTTCTTGAGTTGCGCATGCAACTGAGCATCACAAAAAAACTGACAAATGTCCATGATATTTGTGCACCAAATGAAGGATGGTTCAGGTGTGGTTGAAATGGGAGGCTGACTGAAAGTGAAGTCTAAGAACACTTAATAGGCCTGAGTAAGATTCTCGGCCCTTTCACACAATCTAAATAATGCAGTTTCTGTCCACTTCAGTGACTGTTTGCAAGTGGATTTTGCCATTTCACAAAGCAAAATCCAGTGCATTGAAAGTGGATTGAAAGTATGTTATTTAGTTTGTGTGAAAGCTCCCAGTCTGAGTAGATCTATTTAGGATTGCTCTCTTAAGTGGGCAAAGCTGATGTTGTTTCAGCCCTGTCAATAAAGATTGTGACTGCATGTGAGTAACCTGCCTTATGGGGAGGGCAGGGATCTATTGAAAGCACTACCAAAACATTGAGTTCTGATTAAGAAGAAGGAACTAAAAAAGACCCTCAAATTATAGTATGTTTTAACAGCCACTGTAATTAGCCAGCAGTGAAACGAGGAACATTTTTCTGTTAGACTGTTTAATTTTGAATTCCATTTTGACCTTGTTCGATCTTTTAGGCCAAAATCTTGTGCAATCAAAGCAAGATGTCCCGTAAACAGCTTACTTTAGGAGCAGTGATATTAGCCATTGATTTGTCTTTATAACTTCTGTACTTTTTCAGTTTAAAATTTAGATCAAAACAATCATGACAGTGGCTTTGTGTGTGTGCTGTGTGTGGGTGAGGTAGGGGGGAAGCCAACCCACCAAGGTCACTTGAGAACACAAAGCCAGCATGGGGTCATGGTTGGAGTATCAGATGAGGATGTGGGAAACATAACTTTGAATCCTCATTACCTCACTAAGTCGTTGTTGTGAGAATAAAATGGAGGAATAGTGAATGCTGCTGTAAGCCTTATCAAGGAAATAAGCAGGGTATAAATATCTAAATAAATATCCATAACCAAGGGATACAGAGTCTCGGACTGCCACTGGAGCATACTCGTATCTTATAAATCAATAAATTAACAGCAAAGCTTGGATTGGAGCATTTGTAACAGTTATCATGGGAAAAAGCTTAACAAGAAAGGTCCCTCAACAGTGTCAGTCTCGCCTCTCTCTCCAGCAGCACTGAAGTAGTTCTTCTCCCAAAGAGTAATTAACATGTGGAATTCGCTGCCGCAAAAAGTGGTGGCAGCTACAATCATAGACATCTTCAAGAGGGCATTAGATAAACATACGGAGCAGAGGTCCATCTGTGGGTATTAGCCAAGATGTAGATGGGGCAGTGATGCTTTGCATTCTTGGTGCTTGCAGAGCAGCAGTGGGAGGGCTTTTGGAGTTCTGACCCCACTGGAGAACCTCTGGATACTGGCCACTGTGTGACAGGGTGTTGGATTGGATGAGCCATTGGCCTGATCCAGCATGGCTTCTCTTATATTCTTATGAATGTGGTGATACAAATCAACTTTGAGGGCTTCAAAACATGTAGAAAGTAGGGTTGCCGTGGAAAAAAAAACCCCTTTATGGATATTATTTGCCTCCAGGCCATGAAAAGTTTCAGCTGCCTGTTTTTATACATGAAACCTTCATTGAAGGGACAGGACTCTCTCCAGGCCTGTTGGCAGCCTTGGACTGAACCAACTTGGACTGAACCAAAATCAGTAGGCTGTTGGCAGGAAGACTGGTTTAATAGCATCCCGTTTCTTTTCTGTCCTTCTTCTCTTCACCCTGCTCTCTGTCATTACCTTTTCCCTTCTCAGATAAAGCGTTTTCTGAAGGACGACTCAGAAGAGGCTGAGTTGGTTCACTTCCTCAAGGATTACCCTTCCAAGGAGTACTTCCGCTTTGTGCCATCGGAAGGGATCCAGAAGGCTGAAGGTCTGGGCCATACGGAGCCCAAGATGTTTTCCAGCATGGTCAGGACCATCCCTGATGACACCATGGTTGAAAAAGAGCAGAGGGCCTTCCATCGCCCGCAGCCCCTCGACTTGCAACAGCAGCACATGGCTGCCCCGACCCCGGCGAGCCCTTCTCGACCCAGAAGCCCCTGGGGCAGGCTTGACCCCTATGACTCGGATGAGGTAAGCCCTTCCCCCAGTGGCTCTTGTTTCTACTCCTGGGTTGGGCTCCTTATTGGTGACCGCTTCTGGAATGTGGGTATGGAGTTGGCAGCAATCTTCAAAACATTTTGGTGCTTATTTTTGTTTCTCAAACGGAACCTTGCTTTATTTAGGAGCGGAGGGAAATAAAGAGGGTTGGAAGCCTTGCTGGCCGCAGACTCATGCTGAATCAGATGACACAGAGGTCATTTGAAAACTCGTGAGGTGGTGGTGATAGTTTCTTTGCTACCATTGTGTCTGCTGAATCTCATCCAGCAAAGTTATTTAGGATAGCGTGTTGATAGATTCTCAGTATGGAGTCAGATGTGAATAGGGATTTATTTGTAAACTGTGATTTTTTTCGGAAGATTCTTTGCAAATAAAATCAGATGCAATTTGAAGTAGACTCCAGTTTGGCTGCACATTTCAGAAGCAATGTTGGGAGCACTGGCTAATCAGGTTTTTATAGATAGACTCGGATGGATCCTCCTGGCAGATGTTGGCAGAGTACTTGGCGTTGCAAAGGCCACCACTTGCCCCACCTGTCTTAGGGTCCCCCCTTGGTAAGATAGTAAATGAGTTCCTAACGTAAGTAAATTTCCCTGGGCTTTTAAAGAAGGCTGTTGGTAGAGTTATGATAAGAAAGTCTTTCACAGAGGTCATTTCGGGGGGTATCGCGGGGGAACACAGTTCCCCCGGGTGAGATGCGTGGGGCGGGCACACGATGAAGCCCCGCCCCCTGCTTCCAGCCACCCCGCTTCCGGTCCTCATTCTGCCAGGAGGAGGCAGGAGAAGAGGGAGGGTAAGTTGCTTCCTCCCCGCCTCTCCCCACCCCTGCCTGCCTGGGGCCAGGGAGGGCCTTCACGGGGCTTCCTAGCACTCCCGCCGGCCTTGCAGGTCCACCGCCGGGCCCCTGATGTCAGGGGGTGTGGCATATGCTAATGAGTTATGCTAATGAGTTCCCCTAGTTCTTTTTCTATGAAACGACCCCTGGTCTTTCATATTAAAAAGAAGATCTGGAGAATTGTCAGGCCATGATGGTAAGGTCTATCATTGTGCTTTCCACCCTTCTGCTATTTTAAATTTTATAACATCCAGACTGATGAAGAGTTCTGGTGAGCCTGAAAGCTTGCACAATGTTTTGCATCCATTTGGCTGGTCCTAATAATAAAGGCAATTGACCAATCTCATTCTTGTTTTTGGATTCTGTGCGGACTAATATGGCTGTACAACTTGTTCAATATCAAATTTTGTCATTTTAGCAGGAACGTTTTGAGCAGGTGGTAGCAGAACTGTCCCAAGTTTTCTGGATGATGTCTCTGTCTTTGATCCATTTCAACTTGACTTCTGGCCCATCTTTGGGATGGACAAAGCATGAGAATGTAGCTTCACAACATGCCTGACACACATCAAGTCACAGGTGTGAGACCAGACTTCCAGTTAAGATATATATGGGGGGACCTTGCATTAAAAAGTGCTTGTTCACTCAGCACTTTGAGGGAATGCTGGGAGGGGGAAGAACATCTGATTTCTCTCCCACTCCACTTTTGCCAGTGGAAAGGGCTGCATGTGGAGCCAGAAAGAAGGTGTAAAAAGCCCCTCCGCTGTGCTTTCCACTGGCAAAAGTGGAGTGGGAGGGAAACTGGAAGCTCCTTCTCCCCCCTTGCAGGACACATGAATGCATGAAGCTGCCATATACTGAATCAGACCATTGGTCTATTAATGTCAGTATTGTCTGCTCAGATTGGCAGCAGCTCTCTAGGGACTCAGGCAAAGGTCTTTCACATCGCCTGCTGCCTGGTCCTTTTAACTGGAGATGCCAGGAATTGAACCCAGGACCTTCTGCATGCAAAGTAGAGGTTCTGCCACTGAGCTACAATCCTTCCCCTGAGTGAGCAAGCTCTTTTTAAGGTGATTTCCTCCAATGCATGTTTGACTAGAGGTTCCATTGCACACCCATGACCTGATACATGTCAGACATATCACATAGATTGGCCCTTTGTTGCCCTGGTTGACAGTCTCAGTGGGATAGTGGCAATGCCTTTCTGCTGGTTCTGTTAAGACTGCCATCTGCTTTTGTCAATGCGGACCACGTTGTTATGCTAAATGGTTTGGAGAAGGAAAGAAGAGGGGAGTGGGGTTCCCATGTTTTTGGTCATTTCTGTCCCATTAGACTCAAAGGTTTGCAGATTTCCAAAGCAGCATCCTGGTAACTGACATGTGGTGTGCCCTGGGGGTTCAGCCTTCTCACCTGCCTTGTTTAATATCTATGTTAAACCACTAAATGAGATTGTAGCTTTTGGGTTTGATGTCATCAATATGCTGATGATAACCAGATCTGTCTTTCATTAACTAGGACTCCAGAAGTAGCTCTCTCTGCCCTGGGGTTTGCCTCTCTGCCATTGTCTGCTGGCAAAGGGGAGAAACAAGCTGAAGCCATGCAAAATAGTGGAGCTGGTTGGAAAACTTACTGGCTGGGAAGCAGATGAGTTGCTAACTTTGGAGGAAGTAATGCTGTCGTTGGCAGAATATGCAGAAAGCTTGGGGGAGCACTGCTGATGGATTGGCAGACTGGGTCTTATTGCTAGAAATGCTTTCTGTCAGTGCCTCCAGGTATGCAGATAGGCTCCCTTCCACACCACTCTAACCTCAAGGCTAGATGACTTCAACAGCTTTGCACAGAGCTGCCGTGAAAGCCTAGAAACTCAAGTTGGTTCAGAACTTTTCCTCGGTTATATCAGTTTTATTACACAGTTTTGAAAGCAGAGCCTAGAAACATATCGGCAGCCAATCTACCCCGCCATTCTCTCCAGTGGGGATCCAAAGTGGTTTGCATAGTTCTCCTGTCGTCCATTTTATCCTCACAACCACCCAGTGGGGTAGCTTAGGATGAAAGAGAGTGACTGGCCCTAGATCACCCAGCAAGTTTCCATGGTAGAATGAGGATTCGAACCTGGGTCTCCCGGATCTTAGTCTGACACTCCGTCTACAGTATGCTAGCTGTCTTTGAAAGCCCTTCATGGCCTAGGACCAACAAAAGTGAAGGACCATCCCTCCCTACATGCCAGCTCCTCTGACTGAGGCAGTCTCTCTTTTCCATCCCTTCCCATAGCAAAAAATGCTCCAGGGCTTTTACCGTGGGTGCCCTAGTGCTTGGGAACTAGGTAGCTCTGGAGGTAAGAATGGTCTCATCCTAGACTCAACTCTGTATGATTTGCAAGGAGGTACTTTCAGAAAAGGAGGGCATCCTCTTCTGCTCGGCTTTGCGTTCAAGTTCTGCAGTGTTATTGTTTAGACTGCCCTTGCGAGAGAGAGATTTGGCTGATGTTATTCTTAACTAGGGTAGGAGTCTCTGTTTTTCCAGCATGTATTCTATGTTTTGTAAAGTATTTTGAGGAGGGAAGTCGGTATGGTATAGAACCCGATCTTGTCAGATCTTGGAAGCTCAGCAGGGTCGGTGCTTGACTGGGAGACCACGATGGAAGGCTCTGCAGAGGAAGGCCAGGGCAAAGCACTTCTGCTTCTCACTTGCCTGGAAAGGCCCTTCTGGGGTTGCTGTAAGTTAGTTGCGACTTGATGGCACTTACGTATGTACAGTGCTTTAAAGTCCACTTTTTGTGGAGAAAGGCAGCCTAAAAAGGGTTACAGAAATAAATGCTTTCACTGATTTTTGATTGAAAACAAAAGCAATTAAGAGAAGACTACAGTTAATAAAAAAGACAGAAGCAAAGAGGCTGGAATATATTAATAGACAGCGTACATTTTATAATAGTTTTAAATATGACAGTAAAGAGCCATGCTACTGAATACGAAATGCAAATTAATTGAAGAAAGGAGTTGTGTAATCCACAAGATCTACGTGAGAATCCCAAGACTCTGTTCTCTCTACAGAACTAACTTGTTGGGTGGTGCGAGTCACAGATGAGTCTCCCCGGCTAATCTATTCCAGATCCCCCCCAGAACCGTACTGTATACAGAACTGTACATGGCAACCATCAAACGGCCTAGCCCAGGGGTCCCCAACCTTTTTGGACCTGGGTCACCTTTGGAATTCTGGACACAGTATGGTGGGCACAGCCCCGAAATGGCTGCCACAGGAGGTGGAGCCAGCCACGCAATGGCTGCTGCAGTTTATCTTCAGTCCCTCGGTGGAAATTTTGAACTGTGGTAACAGCTGCTGCCAAAGCAGCGCTTTTGAAATTGTCCAGTAGCCAATGAGAAGCCTTGTTGGGCAAATGCCCCACCTGGCCCAGCTCATTTTCTAAAAACACTAGGCAGGCACCAGGAGTAGTAACACCACGTTGGGGACCCCTGGCCTAGCCCATTTGATGGTTCTCCTGCCCAAGACCCACTGACACACCTTTCCCCCATGAAAAAGCCAGGGTCATACAGCTTCTCTCTGAATGTCATGATTTCTATAACAGGAGCATTTCTCCTTTCCCTTCCTCCTGGTCTCCCTCTTTCTGCTGTCTTCAGGATGACAAGGAGTACGTGGGGTTTGCGACGCTCCCCAATCAAGTCCACCGGAAGTCTGTGAAGAAAGGCTTTGATTTCACACTCATGGTTGCAGGTATGTGTGCGTGTATGTGTGGGATTTTCCTTTCCTTTGATGCCCTCGAATGTTGCAAGCTGCACCTTTTTCATTATACTTCTTCGACAGCAGCTAGCCATCATAAACAAATGGAACCCCCATGTTCAGGGGCAATATATCTCTGAAAACCCTTTGCTGTTGGGGCAGCAAAGATCAGGAGAAAGCTGTTATTAGATGCAAATTTGAAATGATATTTATGACGAAGACCCTTTATGTTTTTCAGTGTCCAGGCTGATTAGCCTGCCTGTTCTATTGTGATTTTCTGTGTTTTACTGAAAGCTGCCTTGACTGAATCCGGACAGCTGGGGTATAAAAATATTTAAATAAATCAAATCAGTAATGTCCACGAGGATAAAGGCTCCATCAACGTGACCTAGCAGGTGCCAACACATGGCAATCAGTGCCACGGTCAAGCAGTCTTTCTTTATGGCCACAAAACTCTTTGCTGTGCTGTGAAGATCCTGGGATTCAGCTGCGCATCGACACAGCCAGTGTTCTACCTGCATCGAAAACGATGGACTTTGGCACTAACCTTGGCTTCCAGCGTGTCTGTTTCTCCAAAAGCCATGTTCTTAAACTGGTCTTCCTTACTTTCCCCTTCCTATGCCCAATGATATAAGAACATAAGAGAAGCTATGTTGGATCAGGCCAGTGGCCCATCCAGTCCAGCACTGTGTCACACAGTGGCCAAAACCCAGGTGCCATCAGGAGGTCCACCAGCAGGGCCAGAATTCCAGAAGTCCTCCCACTGTTGCCCCCCAGGCACCAAGAATACAGAGCATCACTTCCCCAGACACAGTGTTCCATCTATACCTTGTGACTAATAGCCACTGATGGATCTCTATTCCATATGTTTATCCAATCCCCTCTTGAAGCTGCCTAAGCTGGTAGCAGTCACCACTTAACTGTGGCAGTGAATTCCACATGTGAATTATTCTTTGAGTGAAGAAGTACTTCCTTTAATCTGTTCTAAACCTACTGCTCATCAATTCCATTGAGTGCCCACGAATTCTTATATTGTGAGAAAGAGAGAAAAGTACTTCTTTTTCTATCTTCTCTATCCCATGCATAATTTTGTAAATCTCTATCCTCAATCCTCGGTTGTCCTTTCTCCATGGTAAAGAGCCCTAACCTCTTTAACCTTTCTTCAAAGGAAAGGTGTTACATCGCCTTAATTATTTTAGTTGCCCTTTTCTGTACCTTCTACAATGCTATAGTATCTTTTTTGAGGTGCGGTGACCAGAACTGTTCCAAATGAGGCTGCACCATAGATTTATACAGGGGCACTGGATCCCTTTTTACTGCCTAGTAGTGATTTGTTGTCAGTTTTAACTGTCACTCCTTGTAGTACACAGTGCCGGCTGTAACATTTAGTTCCCTGGATAAAAGTACTGTTTGAAAGATGTTTGCCTGTCTTCTGTCTTTTGTTCTTTCTGCTGAATTGTGTTTGCTGCTGTTTTTCTCCCAGGAGAGGCCGGGCTGGGGAAGTCCACCCTTGTAAACAGTCTTTTTCTCACTGACCTGTACAAGGATCGCAAACTCCTAAATGCAGAAGGTAAGGCGGCTTTTCTGAATGGCCCTTTCCTTCTGTCCTTTTAGAGGAGAAAGCTGGAGGAGGAGGGATACCCCCTCACTTCCAAAAGGGAGGTAATTTGATGCAGAAGACCTGGGCTAGAGAGCCCTGACCTGGCCCAGCCTTCTAGTGCACGGCACTTCCTCCAGTTCCATTCCTCCCCCCCTTCCAAAAGTGCATTTTGAAATTCATTCCTTAATGGTTATAGATTGGTCGGGACATACAATTATAAATGGTCTGGGGAGAGTGGAGAGAGAGATTAGATGAAATTAGATTTTAAAAAGGATTAGACAAAATCACAGAGGATGAGTCTTATCAACAGCTGTTAGCCATGATAGTTAAGAAGAAGAAGAAGAGGAGATGGGATTTATACCCCGCCCTTCACTACCCAAAGGAGTCTCAGAGCGGCTTACAAACTCCTTTCCCTTCCCCTCCCCACAACAGACGCCCTGTGAGGTAGGTGGGGCTGAGAGAGCTCTGACAGAAATGGCTCTTTTTCAAGAACAGCTGTGCCAGAACTATGGCTTGCCCAAGGTCATCCAGCAGCTGCAAGTGGAGGAGTGGGGAATCAAACCTGGTTCTCCCAGATTAGAGTCCGCACACTTAACCACTACACCAAACTGGCCTTAAATGGAGCCTCCCTGTATAGAAGCAGTTAATAAGGACAAACATCAAGGGAGGCTTACTTTCAGGCTGGCCTCTGTCTGTTGGAAACAGGATACTGGTCTACATATCCTTGCTTTGGTCTGATAGAGCAAGACAGCTGTGATATCCTCACTCTCTGTGGTCACCACAGTTGCCAGGTTAGCCTTTTATCATCTTTGGCAGATCGGGCAACTAGTTTCCTGTCTCTCCCCCCAGGACTTGGCTACAGTGACCCATGCAATGGTCTCTTCCAGGCTTGATTACTGTAACTTGCTTTATGCGGGCTTACCCCTGAAGCTGATCTGGAAATTCCAGCTAGTGCAAAATACGGCGGCACACCTGCTGACTGCAATGCCTGTGTGGGCTCGCATTCAGCCAGTGCTGTGCCAATTGCACTGGCTACCGATTGAGTACCGGATCCATTTCAAGGTGTTGGTATTAACCTGTAAAGCCCTATGTGGCCTGGGGCCGACATATTGAAGGGACTACTCTGGAGACTGTATGTGCTCTGGAGAGCCTTGTGCTTGGCGGAACATCATCTGCTGGTTCTCTCCGACCCAAAGGGCGTCCGCTTAGCCTCGACCAGCCTAGTGGAACTTGCTCCCATCTGAGATCAGGGCCCTGTGAGACCTATTACAGTTTTGCAGGGCCTGCAAAATGGAGCTGTTCCACCAGGCCTTCAGTTGAGGTGGCTTGCACCCAATTATTTGGCCTCCCTTGCTGTAGCTTTCCAACCGTATGCTGCCCATGTGTATAAGATTTTTCCTGTTCTTGGCTTATGGCCTAGTTGCTTCCAGCTATTTGGGATTGTTGACCCTTATGAATTTAGTGTCGTTCCTGCCTTTTTAACTGTTTTAATTATTTATTTATTATGTAATCAGTAATTAATTAAAAAGAGATTAAATACCCTTTTTAATGGTAGCTATGATAGCTAAATGGAGCCTCCATGTACAGAAGCAATGTACCTCTCAATATGGGCTCCTGGGAGGAGCCAAGAGATTTCTCTGTCCTTTATGAGATGGCTCTTGTGTTTGCCACATTGGTGCTTGAGAAGATTTGGCTGTGAGCCTCCATATTCAGTGGCAGTATACCTTGTTCTTAGATGCTGGGGTCAAAAATAGGGAAGACTGTTAGAAGCATCTGGCTGTCCACTGTCAGAAACAGGATGCTGGAGTAAGCCACTGCCTGGATTTTTGGCCTTTTGTGATGTATGTCGGGGTGTTTGTGTAGCCGTTGCACCTGCCTGTTAGCGTGCTGCTTCCCCACAAACCCCATTTCTGTCCTTTTCTCCCTGTGTCTAGAACGGATCATGCAGACGGTAGAAATCACGAAGCATGTGGTGGACATTGAGGAGAAAGGCGTGAAGCTCCGCCTTACCATCGTGGACACGCCGGGCTTTGGGGACGCCGTCAACAACACAGAGTGGTATGTCTCCCCTTTGGAGAGAGGAGGGGAATTAGCCCTGGCAGCAGGCAGAGCCCTGGGCAGGGAATCCCATTAGGCCTTGCCTGGAGAGCCCGTTTGACTTCTGGATAGAAGCCAGAATTGGGATAAAAATAATCTGCTAGAGACAAAAGCCAGCTGGCTGCCAGGCAGGTAAATCCTCGTGAGAGGAGACATGAGACTGACCCCAGCAGAGCTTCCTGTGTCCCTCAGTTTCTGGTGATGATGAAGGAAGGGGGAGTATGTTCACCTGGCATTGCCCGGCCCAGTAGGCATTTGGTGCACAGCTGGCAGACATTTATGGTCTGGCTTCTTAGTGGTTGCACATTTTTACAGACCCGTCTACTGTGGCTCCATTCTCCCAGGCCTTCCTTCCTCAGCCCAGTCGCGGCTCTAATCTCACAGCCCTGGTCATGGTCACCTTCCCACACCCATCACAGCTCCCTTCTCCATCCAAGTGTGGCTACACTGTGGGATGAAAATTGTCTTTTTCTTGCACTCCTTTTAGCCCTATCACTGCTGGTTGGTCAAAAAAGAATAAGAGAAAGTCACTGTGTGGTCGGAACGGCCTCTGGGCTGCTTGGGGAAGGCGGACCTGGGGAAGGCAGCAGGGTCCGATTCTCTTGCATTCTGCTTCTTCTACCGCCTCCAGATGTAGCTTTCATTTGGGAAATGGAAGGTCAAGGGCCTCCAGTCACTGGGTGGTGGGGGGGGAGGTGGAGGTAGGCCCTCTGCCAGCCCACAGGCCTTGGCAGGTCCCTGACCCTGCCACACCCTGCCACCGGCCTGGAGCTGGCACCCTACCACCTTGTTTTATAGAACTTCTTCTCCCCTGTTCTGTTCCCTCCCCAGCTGGAAACCTGTGGCCGACTACATAGATCAGCAATTTGAACAGTACTTCAGGGACGAAAGTGGCCTGAACCGGAAGAACATCCAGGACAACCGCATCCACTGCTGCCTCTACTTCATTTCACCCTTCGGACACGGGTAGGGGAAGTGGAGGGGACTGAGGCCCAGCTAAGCCAGCCTTTACTTTTGGAGCAGGGCATAACAGTGCTGGTTCCAAAAGCTGTGGGCTATGTGAGCGGGCAAGCAAGCCTTGCTGCAGTATGACATCCTAGTGAGCTGCTGGCTGATAGGGGCCCTGTGTGCAGTACAGCACTGTATCCCTCATATACCACTGTAATTGCCTTAGCTTCACCCAAAGAATCCTGAGTTTGGGGTTTGGGGAAGAACGGTCTCTGTTAGAGATCCCTTCCTCTGTTTCCTCACAATTTCCAGGGTCTCTAGGAAGAAGGCATGGATGTTCCTCTTGTTTCAGCCTGTGGTATGGTTTTGCCAGGTCAGGCCTGGAGGCAGAGCTCATGCTTGGGAGATAACTGGGGAAGGTTATCATGAGCCAATGCAAAACAGAATAAACAACTTGAATTTACATGGCCAGCAATATGTGACATTGGGGATCTGCTGTTGAAGCCCCTGATATTTAAAAAGCAGGGATATATATGTGTGTGTGGGGGGGGGGGGAGGTGACTGATACGAATTGGGCCTGTGGCATGGAGGATCAAGGATTTTAACACCCCCTATGCTGTTTCCTCCACTGAAACATGACATTTTAAATTGGAGTTAGAGTTAGGGATTCCCCCCCCCCCACTTATTTATTTATTAATTAAAAGATTTACTAGGCTGCTCTTCCCTACAAGTAGGGCTCAGGGTGGCTTACAACAGAATAGAATACAATAAATAATTTAAATTAAAACCAACATTAAGACTACCTAGAAACAAATCAATTAATAAAACAATATTCAGTCCAAGATGGTGGGGAAAATTCAGCTCCCCAGCCTTTGCGGGGGGTGGGGGGGAGTTGCAAGGGTTGGGTAGAGTATATGAGATTGCCAGATGTCATATGGTCCCGTTGCTGTCCTCAACCAAATGCCTGGTGGAACATCTCTGCCTTACATGCCCTGTGGAAAGGTAGTAATTCTTGCACCACAGCACCAGTCTACATGCCTGCCCTACTCTGGGAATCCCCAGCATCTGTGTAGCTTGTCTTGAAGTGCCTAAATAAACATTGCACTATCTTAGTGTCCTTTCCGGATTCGTCACAAGGATTTTCAGCTAGAATGTGTTCTGTGATTCAGACTCAAATTCTAGTCATGTAGAGGCCTAGTTCAGATTGGGACCAGTTTGAATTGAGAGAGGTGGTGTCAGCCTTCACTGCCCACCATTTGCCCAACCGGAAACAGACCCAGGGAGTTGCTTGTTGCTTTTCTGGGGAAACCCATATGTAACCATCAGTGCAGTACAAGTAGGTTTCCCTAGCAGGGCAAAAAGCAGTTTTCCAGGGCCACTTCAGGTCAGGAAAACAGTGCATACGAAATGGCTTAAGTTCCCTCTCCCTCTGTGTCGTGGCCCTGATCCAAATTGGCCTTCCCCACCTGCTTGGGAATAGGGTCTGAGTGCTGAACATTCAAGGAATGTCAGATTGAAAGTCCTTGTGTTGGACTCAGGATCATGTAATGTATAGTTAGCCCCTAACATGTGCCTAGTAAACTTATTGAACGTAATTGATAACTTACTAAAATACAATCCCAGTGCAAATGAAAAATGATTGCCAAGCATCAAATTCTTGCCTGTCCTCCATGGCCTTTATGTTTCTTGACTGGAACAACAGAACAAGGCTGTCTTGAACAACCTAACTTTTAGGCTCTGTGTGTGTATGGGGAGGACCAGTTTCTGATATGCGCAGCGTGCTTAACTGCATCTCTTGGCAGGTTGCGGCCCCTGGACATCGAATGCATGAAAGCTCTCCATCAGCGTGTGAACATCGTTCCAGTCCTGGCCAAAGCTGACACCCTGACACCCTTTGAGGTGGATCGGATGAAAACCAAGGTGAGGAGAGGCCATGAGAACAAACGTGGGTGCCTTCTCCCAAGATGAGGCAAATTAGACACATCGCTGCTGCTTTTGGTGTGGATCCTTTTAAGTCATGTGGCATTGAGCCCTCAGCCTGCAGCAAATGTGGAACAAGCCATGATCAAGCTTTGTCAGTTTCAGGCATCATTTTCCCCTTCCAGATCCGTGATGAAATTGAGCAATTTGGAATCCGGATCTACCAGTTCCCAGAATGTGATTCAGATGAAGATGATGATTTTAAGACGCAGGATCTGGCCCTTAAGGTGAGGATGGGGGGAGCCTGGACACCCTGTGTTGAAATTAAACTGTAAAAAATGGCCACAAACCTGGTCTAAAAAAAATAGTAAGAACAAGCAGTAAAACAGAGAAAGGCAAAAGATTGCCAATGGTGGTGTCTGGATTCTCTGTAAAATTGAGTGAGCAAATCAGGGCAATTCCAGACAAAGTGGTGAATATGGAAGCAATTGGTGGCTGTTTCAAGCAGCATGTTTGAATGGTGGAGAACAACAACAAACATTAAAAATTATAAGACATTTATTAAAAAGAAAATGCCCATACACATATTCTCAAGCACAATAACAGACTGAGCAAAGGATCCAAAAGAAAAGTATAAACATGCCGTTCCACTGTCCCTGATTCTATACATGCCCTAGTTGATGTTATTCTAAGGCAAGATCATTAATGTAGAAGTTACAAAGTTTCTAAGGTTTCCGCTACATTGGAGTCTTTGTTTGCCTGCTTTCCCCCAC